GAGCAGGCTAAAGTGTTCTACGGTGTTGGTGGTAATAAACATCAGTGAAAGGAACCGGAGTCATGCATCCAATCAATGGGCGGCATACACCCTTTTTATAGCTTCAAATAACTAATTAAAACCAAACTTATCAAAAATGTAATACTTGAACATTAATCACTATGATAAGAACTCCCTAAATGACAAAACCATATTTGTAAAAAAAAAATTGACCTGTACATAATTTTTTGTTTGTTTGGCTGATCCAGATGTTTTGGCTTCACTTTTGGAGAGCTGTTAGGTCGTCCAATCTTTATATATGTCAATCGTTAAAACACATGTTGGTGTTGGTGACGTATATTGTGCCATACGAGAGTGGTTTCACACAAAACTAAATGGTACTACGGTGACTTTCTTGACTTACAAAATGATCTTTTAAATAACCAAACAGTATATGTGTAAATTATGACACCATTTAACAGGGACTGAAAATGTATTCATCTCATGCCGTTGACTATCGTACATGTTATTCTAAAACAGGGTAAAACTCATTCAATTCAGGTTCAGTATCTGCTCAAGGATACTGTGGCGGGAGGAGCCCGGGTCAAACCAACAACCTCCTATTAGTGGACGACCCGCTCTGCCTCTGAGCCACATCCGCCCATTGTATATGGATGTTAAACTTCAGATCTGGATTAAATTTACATCAAGTGAAGTTTACCTTAATGGTTCACCCTATATGCCATGGTTAAAGGAATCCTTGTTGGAGGGATGTGGCAGAGAACAGAATCTGTACAGTTGAACAAATTCATTTCCACCTGCACTATGACATAATGAGGGATTATACACTTTGGATGATTTGTGTTGTTTACTTCTGTGTGCTGCTGGCAATTTGTCTTCTAATGTATGTTCCGAAAACTGAGCACATGAGCGTACTGTGTGTGTGTGTGTGTTGTCAGGTTGAAGGTGGTCCTGGAGCAGATGGACCGTGGCGTCGTAGACCTGCAGGAACTCCGCAGGAACCTGGAGCTCGCTGCTGCCATGTTGGATGCTGTTTACACTGATGAAACCAAGTAGGACCTAACAGGCTGATGGATGGATGTAGCTAAATAAATCCTTGTCTCTGGTTGTCCAGGCTGCGGCTGACAGCCATTTCTTTCCATTCTGCAGGCGTCTGTTGGACACTGAGGATGAGCTCAGTGACTTGCAGGTGGAGTCGGTGCCAAGCGAAGTGCGTGACTGGCTGGCATGTACCTTCAGCAGGAAGATGGGCGTGTCCAAGCGCCGTCCTGAGGAGAAGCCGAGATTCAGGAGCATTGTCCATGCAGTACAAGCTGGGATATTTGTAGAGAGGTAAAAAAAAATAGTTACGCCCCTTGTCCATTAAATATAATGTATCTGAAGTACTGAAACTCATCTCAGTAGATTTGCTAAGAAGCCACAAAACCAACGTTTACATCAAAAGCTATTTGTCTGTTGAAAATAAATCACATCTATATCAGCTAAAAGACAAAACAGAAAAGCAGGTGTCTCACTGGCTGGTGCTGTTTAAATCCACATACTCAAACATACAGTAGGTCAACACATTGCACCTTTATGAAATTTATCATCAGGAAGGTCACACATTGCCTCCCATAGCTTCTTCCTTCCTTCCTGTCCTTCACCACTCTCTCCCCACTAGCAATGCCTATTATCTGCTATAATCCCACACAAGATAAAACCTAAAAGCATATAATGCATATAACATCATGCTGGCAGAAAACAGTCAACGCTCATGTTTTACAAAAACACATCTGCTGCTTTAGTCCATCAGCAACTCGCTTAAAAAAACAAAAGAAATTGTGAAAAATCCAGTAGGAAATGTCTTCAGTCTTACCTTAACGGTGCCCCGCAGTCAGTGTGGGAGGAAATGTCTGCGTATGCCAACAGCTAACCGATAGCAGGCTCTCTCTGTAAATGACTGGGATGCTGCAAGAGTCCTCCTCACTGCTTCTTCAATGGGGAGAAGCAGTGCAGTTCACTGTTCTAAATCAGTGCTCTGGGTATATTAAAGGAAGATTCTAGCATATTTTAACCTGGTCGTTTCCCAAAAATGTGGCTATTGTGACTTCAAGTTAGGGATGCAACGATACATTCAGCCACATATCGTGACGTCACCCATTGGTTGTGGAATGTCGTCCTGAATTTGGCGTTTTGGGCCCCACCCAAAAGCATACACCACTTTATGGTTTATTTTACTCTAAATGGGACCATCAGTTACTAAATGAACATCATGCTGTAGGGAAGAACTGAGAAATCGGCTCATTTCTCCAT